TTTTTTTTTTTTTTTTTTTTTTTGATTTTACTGAGACAACAAATACTTTTATGACTACTGATACAACAAGTAAAGTTTAGTGAGCATGTGTCAAGTTAACCCTGGAAAATTGGTGATGAAGTAGATGTTATTTCATTGGCGATGCTTTCAGTTATTTGCGATTAATTTTTGTATTTTTCCTTAAATTTCATAATGCAGTTGTGTGAAGTTCCAGGTTTAGCAGAAAGAATGGCTGCATTAATGTGTGTAGATAGTGCAGCTGAGGAAGCAGGTGATGTAGAGGGCGATGCAGGCGAAGAGGATAGTATTAAACCGAGTGCCGTGGAAATAGTGCAGAGAGAAATAAAAGAAGGCGGGGATGATACTATGAGGTGGTTGGAGCTTGAGGAACTTGACATTGATGATGACATGCTTCTATCTCTTGATTTGCCTAATAAATTTCCTGTACGTTTCCCTTATAGCTCTAAATTGTGATATCAACCTGATCAATTAGAAACTAAAAAGAAATAGGAACAAAGTAGATCCTCGGGACTCGGAATTGCACACCCTGTTCTTGTGCAAGCTTGCTTAAATGTGCCTGTGATAGCATGAGTTTTATCCGTGGAGAAGTAGTTCCCTTTAATGGCCTTACTTTGCGTTAGGATTCTTCCCACCTTCCCTATGCATGAGAGATGCAAGCTGCGGTTTCTTGTACATAATAGCTAGCCTAGATTTCTTTATGAAATTTTTATTATGCATATAATGGAAGATCTTTTAAATTAGTGTGTTAGAAGCTTCAACTTCTAGCTATCTTATAGGGGCAAAAAATGTATGCAATGAGTCACCTCTAGTGCATTGGTGCTTTTCACTATGTTTGTTACAACAACAACAAACCAAGTGAGTTTCCACAAGTGGGGTTTGGGCTTTTCACTATGTTTCTTGTCACACTTTTTAATAATGTTGACTAGCTGCTTTATTTTACTTATATTTGTTAATTTTCAATTTTCTTGCATCAGAATTTACTGGCACTGAGCCTGTGCAGCAACAATCTGAAGGATGTTGAGATTGTTGCCAAGGAAGTTACCCGACTCAAAAATCTTAAAGCTCTCTGGCTGAACAATAATCCAATTTTGGAGCGTAGGTAGGTTGCCAAGAGCTCTGTAACTAGGTCTAATGAAGCAGTGAGTTTTTTTTGGAATAGTAATTGATGCTCGGATAGCAATTTCCTTATTGGCAAGCTTGAGCAGTATTTGATGCTTCTTCCTTTTCTTCTTTGGATAGTAATTCAGAAACTGCAATCATTCAGGGTTGCCCTGGTTTGGAAATTTGCAACTCAAAGTTCACATCTAACTATGGAGAGTGGGCATTAGGATTTTGTGGTGGAATCTATGACAAAGAAAATGCAGGCTTTGCCCATCAAAGAGATCATCCTTTGGAGAGTGTGACATCTCTAGACCTTAGTAACAGGTCTATTCACAATCTGATAAACAAGGTGAGGCCTATTCCTACGTTTACCTTTCCAAATAAAGGTGCTTTGAATTTATCATGAAATTCTCTCTCCTCCCCCCCAAAGAATATTAAGATTCTTTGAGATAATGTGAAACTATGGCTGTCTTTTATGGATGTAGTGGTTGCTCCTCATCCTTCTAATCTTTTCCTGTTTATGCTGCTTGGTTTTCTCAGGCATTTAATCCTGATGATATCCCATCTCTTTCTTACTTAAATCTACGTGGAAATCCATTGGACCAGAATTCTCTTAGTGATTTATTGCAGCTTCTTAAAGGATTCAGTTGCGTGGATTCTCTGGAGGTACCTCTTTTAACTACTTCCGCTTTAGTGTGAGCACATAATGATTTTATATAAACTATGGAACAGGTTGATATTCCTGGGCCTTTAGGAGAAAGCGCTGCTGAAATTGTTGAAGCCCTACCTAATCTTTCTCTCCTAAATGGAGTAAACACATCCAAAATATTGGAGTCTGGGAAGTCTGTGGTCGATTCAATGTTGCAACCACGCCTTCCTGAATGGGCTGCCGGAGACCCTCTAGAAGATCGTGTGATAAATGCTATGTGGTTGTACTTAATGACATATAGACTTGCAGATGAAGAAAAGATTGATGAAACCTCTGTATGGTATGCAAGCTAGAAATTTACCATTTCATTTGATTATCCTCAAAGTTGATATCTCCATGTGATGTCCTTCTTCCCTTACACATCCGTCTAAGCAACATGAATAGTTCGGTTTAATAGGCATTCTCAGCATCTTGAAGCTTTGGGCTTCTTGTTTTCTCTAGCTTGGTTCTGAAGATTGCATCTGTAGACTCTACAGGATCTAAAAAAAATAGCACATTTTTCTGTGAGCTGAAGTTGGAGGAATTCTAGGAGTGTAAAATTAGACTATTGGACTTTTAGCAATTGGAATTTAAAAAATGTGATCAGAATCCCTCTGTCTATTTTGTAAAATGTTTAACTTGACTCTTTGACTAAATTGGTGAGAGTTGCTATTGCAACTAAGAAGTTTTTCAACTTGATTGTGCCAAAGTTGCTGGACTATAATGATATGATACAATGCTTTTGTGATTCTGAACAATGTTTTCTGAACTCAAGCTTATATGCGTATTATCCTTTTATCAACATGTTTGTTTGTGCTCATAGGTATGTAATGGATGAATTTGGTTCTGCTTTGCGCCACAGCGACAAGCCAAACTTTAGAGTATCTCCTTTTCTCTACATGCCGGAGGGTAATTTGGCATCAGCTGTGAGGTTCTCTTCTTAAACTACGTTTACCTGCTTTCTTGCTTACATATTCGGATGTTCTTTTTTAAACGACTTTTTGTATATCCATTACAGAAAAGACACTTTTTGTATATATTGGAGTACACAAGAAATCTTGTTTAGATGACTACTTGGGATTTGTAGCTGCATATACCTCTTGTACCCAGGCTTCAGGCTTTACCCTTTTTGTGAATAAATCTCTAAAGTGCTCAGATTGTATATCCCTTTTTATTATACTTTTCTGAATAGATACATATCCAAAATGTTGGCTTTACTTTTTTGTTTAAACAGCAAATAACGTGTCACTTATTTTTCCTTTGTTCCAATTAAAGTAGGTGGATTTGAGGAAAAAGTTTGTTGCTAAGTAACTCTCCTTGGGAAAACCTTAGCGCATTGTTAAAAATAGCGTGAAGCGAGGAAAAACGACAACCCCCATTTCGCGAGAAGCGAGAAACGAAGCGCCCGCTTTTTTGAAGTGAAGCGGAATTTAAAAAAAAAATTAAAATAAATACGGCATAGACAACACATGTAATTGTAAGCAAATGTTCAATACTTGAATTAAAAAACTAAAGAGTAGCATCAATTAACGCACAAAATGAGCATCCCATTCTTCTACAAGATTGTCAAAAGTAGCATCAATTAAAGCACAAAATGAGCATCCTATTCTTCTACAAGATTGTCAAATTCTTGTATTCCACTATCATTATTATATTGCTTGTCATCTTCTTTAACTTCATCTTCTTCATCAACTAGGGACAAAGTAGCTGCCTGTTTTCCCTTCCTCTGTGAACTTGAAGTTGAGGTACTCCCCCTCAAACCATAAATCCTCTCCCCAATTCCACGCGCCTCCGCAACATCACCCCAAGTGATATCAGAAGTATCCTCAAATACTTCTTCATCTGCATGATCTTCCGGGACTCCAAGCCATTCATTAGCATCATCGATGTTGTCCAAACTAATTGGATCAATTACATTGCGAGCGTTGTAACGACGCCTCAATGTTCGATTGTACTTAATGAAGACTAGATCATTGAGACGCTTCAAGGTTAGTTTGTTCCTCTTTTTGGTATGAATCAGCAAATAATAAGTAATTTGTAAGATTAGGACAATTGAGATATAATTTAATTATCTCAATATACTAAATCTTTCTTATTAGTTCTTGCATGCTCAAACACGCTTCAATTCCTTTCACACCCGGATAAGCTACATGTTAGACTTAGAACCTTGATGGCAAACTTTTGTAAATCTGGAGTGGAATGACCATATTGCTTCCACCATTCAACTGTAGAAGTAGAACAAATTTTCAAAACATAATATTAATAAAGAAATAACTTGTTAACTATAAAACAACATATAAGCACTCGCTCACCTGGTGACTTCGTCTTTCTTTGTCTAATGGCCATGTTTTTTTCAAAAAATTGTTCAGCATTCCTATAAATACTAAATTGCTCTGTGATTTTATCTTGCACGGATTCTGCAGGTATCAACTTGTCAATGCATTCATAGTATCCATTCCACAAGGGTTCATCTCCTAGAATCCTCTCTTCATTGTCATAAAACAGTTCCGGGTTCAAAACAAGTCCGGTTGCATGCAAAGGGCTATGAAGCTTACTATCCCACCTTTTATCTATGATCTCAAAGACTCTTTTGTATTTTCTTTGATCACTAAAAGAGGCTTGAATAGCCTCTTTTGCCCTATCAATTGCTTCGTACAAGTAGCCCATTGGTGGTCTTTTCTCCTCATCCACCAAACGAAGCACTTTAACTAAAGGACCACCAATCTTCAATGCATGAACCACATTGTTCCAGAATGAAGGAGAGTATAATATCTGCAGATTCTCTCCCTCGAGCTTCCCTTCCGTAGGCACTGCTAGTGTACTCATCTGAAACAAACAACTTCTTCAAATTACTTTTTGCTCATACATCCTAGCCAAAGTCAAGAAAGCAGTAGCAAATCTTGTCTTTGCAGGTTTCACCAAGCTTCTTTGTTTAGTGAATCTCTTCATCATGTTCAATAACAAAGGCCTTTGAACAATATAGGAATGCACTGTAATTGCCTGATTAAAGACAGTACTGAAGGGTCTTTCCTTGAAAATATCACCGAAGATCAAATTAACAGAATGTGCTGTACATGGAGTCCAATAGATATGCCGATAGCAAGCAGACATCATCTCACCAGCTTTAACATTTTCACTGGCGTTGTCCGTGACAACTTGAACAACATTTTCTGCTCCAATAGAGTCTATTGTACTCTTGAACAAGGAGTACATTTTGGTTGAATCAGTCGAAGAGTCGCTTGCATCAACGGACTCAAGAAACAGGCTTCCCTTAGGAGAATTCACCAAGATATTGATGATCATTTTTCCATTTCTCGCTGTCCACTTATCCATCATAATGGAACAACCAAACTTGTTCCATTCTACTTTGTGCTCCTCCACGATTTTGTTCACTTCTGCCACCTCTTTTTTTAGATATGGCCCACTAACTTCATAACAAGGTGGAGGCTTCATTCCTGGGCCATATTGGTCTACGGCCTCAATAAAAGCAGCAAAAGTGTCGGTATAATTAACACAATTAAAAGGAAGACTTGCATCATACATTCACCGGGCAAAAATGGTAACTGCACGGTCCCTCAAAATCGCTTTTGCATCAACTTGAGGATTACCACTTTTTCCTCCCTTATCTCCAGATTTTTGCTGGAAGTAACAATCCATAGGACCTTTGGTCTTGCCAGTAGATCCACAACTAGAAGACATTGGTGGAAGCATCCTTTCCCGCTTTTGTGATTTTGATGGAAGCGACGAAGCATTGTCACCTTCTTCTGTTTCATCATCATCATCATCAAGATTATAAAGTTCTTGTTCATGAATCATTTGAGTCTTTAACTCTTTCTTTTTTTGAAGATATGCTTTCAATTTTTCCTTCACATGCCCCGGAACTTTAGGACAAGATGCGACATTTGGATCACCACCGATTAGATGCGCTTTTTCACGATAGATTCCTCCATTTGTAATCTTATCACAAAAAAGACATCTAATGGCCATCTTGTTGGTCTCGCTAACTCTTGCAAAGTAAACCCAAGTCGGGTCTTTCCCATCTTCTTTTGGCGCCATTAAAATATCAACTACATAACACATAAGAAAGGCAATAAGAACTAAGAATAAAAAATATATAATTGGGCAGAATCTGGGCTGAATTTGGGCAGAAACGGGGCAGAATTTTTCTGAAAAAAATTCGCCAGCATTTCGACGCTTTTTGGACGTTTAGAAAGAAAAAGAAGAAGAAGAAGAAGAGTGAAAATAAAAACATACCTGTTGAAACTTGAAAGCTGTTGTTGTAATGTTGAAGAAGAAGAAGAAGAACCCTAGTTTGCTTGAACAGATCGTTGCTTCATGTGAGGAAGAAATCGCTAGTTTTTTGAGGAAGAAAAGGCTGGTTTAGAACCCTAGTTTGCTGCTGAAGAAGTGTCTAAAACAGAAGACTCAACGATTTGGGTCTTTTAATTGAAAAAGACTTGTTCGGGCCTTTTAATTCAAGAAGCGATCGCTTCTTCCGCTCCCGACAGCTTCACCACTTCCCGCTTTTTAGAGAGAAGCGGTTGCTTTTCTGTACCTGAGCCGCTTTTAGTTGGGGTAGCGACCAACCCATCGCTCCGCTTCGCTTCTCGCTTAAAGCGAGGAAGCGGTTGCTTTTTTAACACTGCCTTAGCGTGTAAATAAGATCCATTGTGGAAAAACAACATATGCTACTCAAGGGATATTGGAATATTATCCTTCTCATAGTCTCCTCTATGGCTGAAGGCTGAAGGGCCTTTTCCAATGTAAAGCCTGATAAGGGAATTAAAACATAGTTGGCATATGCCCTTCTTCTGCTTCTCTGATGAAGTTATTATGCATTTAAACTTTAACTTTGCAAACTTCCATATATTTATGAAACTTCACTAATTTTTAAATGATTTTAGTTACTCAATTATTTGGCCAATTGACGATGTTCGAGAAGGTGATGAGTGCACTCGTGATTATCTATTTGGTATTGGGGAAGAGAAGCAGCGATCTGCTCGCCTAACTGCTTGGTTCCATACACCAAGAAACTATTTTATCAAAGTATGTATTTACTTATTCAGATTTGATTGTTCATCTTGTCAACTGAATATAGATGTTCAACATGAAATTTGGTTTCCATTATTCTTCAGGAATATGAAAAATACAAGAATAAGTTGCAATCAAACAAATTTGTCAGCCCAGTACAGGGGTCATCAGTTACAAATAGCCTGTGTCATGGTGATGGAAGTGCTTTACGCGTGTACACTGACATACCTCCAGTGGAAGAATATCTGACTCGTCCTGAGTTTGTTATCAGTATGTCTTTTTTCTGATGCCACTGTAATTTCCTTTTTATTAGATTGTTGACTGTTTCTGTTTCGCTTTCACTGTCTGGACTTGGTCGTTAATGTTCATGCACTGTCATTTTGCTTACAGTCAAGAAAGTGTGTACTGGTTGTTTGAGTTCAATTTTATGAACATTTTATTTGCTCAAGACTCTACATATATTAACTTCACATTACTGGTGGGTTTTATAGCAACTGAGCCCAAAGATGCAGACATTATATGGACAAGCATGCAGATAGATGAGGAGACAAAGAAGGCAGCAGGACTAAATGATGAACAGTATATAAATCAATTTCCATTTGAGGCTTGCCTTGTTATGAAACATCATTTAGCGGAAACTATTCAGAAGGTCATCATAGATTTCATGTGTTTATATTCAGTGGTTGAGCACTTGTTCTTTATGCAGAATGCTGATGCTAAATTTAGTCCACTTTCTTAACAGGCTCATGGATTGGTCGAATGGCTTCAGCCAACTTATAATCTTGAGACACAGCTAACTCAACTTATTGGAGATTTTCACCAACGTGAAAGAGAAAAACTAGACAATTTGTGGATCTTGAAGCCATGGAACATGGCAAGAACTATTGATACGACAATAACTAGCAATTTATCTGCTATTATCCGTCTCATGGAAACTGGCCCAAAAATCGGTCAGAAGTACATTGAGCATCCTGCTCTATTTAAAGGGAGAAAATTTGATCTCCGCTATATTGTTTTGGTTCGCAGTATGAATCCCCTGGAGATCTTCCTTGCAGAAGTTTTCTGGGTATGTGCATATTTCATTGGTGTAGGTGTTCTCTTAGTGGTCGAGAAGTTGGAAAGAGAACTGTTTCACTATGATACTTTATGTTATACATATAAAATGCCTTTCTAGAAATTGTTTTCTCGTCTCTGGCTAATTGAGTTTCTATTTTCCGTTCAGGTAAGATTGGCAAACAACACATACACTTTGGAGAAACATAGCTTTGATGAATACGAGACTCATTTCACTGTTATGGTAAGTACTGATTACTTGTCTCCACTATTTGTTGATTTTGCTGCTTCATAATTAATTTGAGTATTTTATTTGATGTAATTGCATGATTTCATTCCTTGACTCAGTTTCTTGACATTTAACGTAATATTCTCCTGTAGAACTACAGAGGCAGGTTAAACCATATGAATACACCAGATTTTGTGAAAGAATTTGAGAAGGAACATAAGGGTGAGGGTATTTTTCAATACGTCGATTTCCTCCTGTCAGTTTATTGTGGATTTAGGAGGACATAGTGATTTAAGTACTAGTCTCACTCTCTTGACTTTGTTGCAGTTAACTGGTTGGATATCCATTCAAGGATTAGAAGGATGATTACATCGGCTTTTGAAGCAGCTGCTGTTGTGCATCCAGAAATGCATCATAGCAAATCTAGGGCAATGTATGGGGTTGATGTCATGCTTGATTGCCATTTTCAGCCTAAATTATTGGAGGTATGACTGCAAATTACCTCTATTATAGCATTTTCCGATTTTGGTAGTTTCTGAAATGTAACTGCTCAAAGCATGACTTTGTCACTGACCATCTTTGCTTATCTTTGCTTCTGTAAATATGGTTATGGATTTAATTGCTTGCTATTTTTCGGTGTCATTGTCATCTTAGTGAGACGGGAAATGACCCTCTCGTTAGGCTCAATCTGCAATGAACTCTAAAGCCAGATGCATATCTTTTGGATGCAGATTACCTACTGCCCTGACTGTGGGAGGGCAGTCAAATACGATACTGAAGCTGTTGTTGGTGGAGGAGAAACTGTTAAAGGAAAAGATTTCTACAACTATATCTTCGGCTGTCTCTTCCTAAATGAAACTAATCATGTTTCCCAGTTGTGAGTGAAACCAGTACATGCAGAGCTCTTTGAAGTAGACTTTCGTGTCGAAGTCTAACTCTGGATGATTTATGCAAGTGTGTATCAAGAGAAGAACAATACAAGCAAAGCCATTTGTACCATGTAATCTATGCAAAAGTATGTCTGAGCCGGTTTGGACTTCGGAGCTCTTTTACTTTTATCATCCCACCAAAGAGCTACACCTAGAATATCTCACCAAAGCCTACTCCTTTCCCAACTCTCCCCCAGTCTATTAATTTTACACCTTTTGACATGTATCATATTTTCATGGTCTATTAAGGTTCTTGCTGTATTTTAGGGTCTTGAAACTTTCCAGCATCATCTCCATATTGATGTGTATTTTTCCTTTTAAAGTTTTTTCTGAGGTTGAGAGGATTGGACATATAAACTACAGTGTTTTCCGTGGGTGAGATAGAACTTCAAGATGCACAATCCCAGTTGCCAGTATGGTTTTACATGTCTGGACTATGGCCGTCCAACGGGACGGGACGACATTTAAGCGGGACGGTGGCGGGACGGGACGAAACGGGACGGGTTCGTGGGCCTTAAGTGTATTTTTTTTTTTTTAGAAAAAAAACGTCTAGTTTTTTGAAGATTACTATGTTTTTAAAGTTTGCAACGGCTATATTTTGACTTATTTAATAAACTTAAATGTTACTATGTTAAAATGAAAATTAGAAAACTAAGTAAAGAATTATAAAATATTAAAGCAAAAGACTTGTAATGAAAATTATAAATTTATAATAGGGTTATAATTTATTTAATATAATTTCAAAGCATAAACTATTAAGTAACTAAGACAATTCATAAATAAAATTCAAACGCTTAGAGCCTTTTATTTTATTAATAGAACTTTCAAATCTCAAATACAAATATAATTCTTTTGAAGAGCACTTAATCTATGCAGTCACCTTCTAGGAAGGGTTCTGTTTGAACTAGGCCTCTTAGTAGCCAATTACAAATTATTATGCTAATATTTGTAAGCTCCTATCATGTTTAAAAAATTTCCATACAAGTGATGTTTTGGGACGTTCAGCCTTAGGCTTACCCCTTACCGGGGGTACAGGGGGTAAAGCTCCAGACTGAGATTGACTCTGAGTTGGAGCTTGTGTTGCGGGACTAGTGGGTGTTTCATCTAATTCTTCTTCCTCATTTTCTTCATCCTCAAAAAAAATATCACTGCCAAATGTCTTTGTAAAGTTTCATGATCTAATTGTTCTCCGACATGAACATCATAAAATGTGGGGGGTTGGGAAAATGAAGTTTCATCAACATGAGTCATTTCATCAATATGCTTTCTAATTCTAGGTCTAGGAGAAAGGTTAGGATTAGGATTACTACTACTTTCACCTTTACTATTTTTTTACTACTTTTTAAAAAAAATACCATATACATTTTTAGGTGCCATAATTTAAATAAGAAATTAAATTAAAAAGCTAACACAAATATTAAATACACAAATGAAATAAGAAAATATAACACGTAAAGTAAACACAAAAATTAAGCACTAAACTGATACGCAAAAATTATATATTAAAATTAGGAGATGGAACGGGTGCACCGTGATTAAATAGNCCGTCCCGTCCCATCCCGTGTCCCATTTAACATTGGCCCATCCCATTTAACTTGAAGCGGGACGACGGGACGGCCCGTCCCGTTGGACAGCCATAGTCTGGACTCTGGAGCCTGTAACAACAACAACAACCCAGTATGATTGAAAACCTTAGTTTATTTTTTACTGTTCCCCAAGTGTGTTTCTTCCTCAGTTGCCAAAGTGACTCTTGCTTTTTCAGTTGTGGTTGGTAACAATTCTGCTTGGAAGTGATTATTTCCGCTGAAGTATGCTGCTGATTTTATGCATATTTCCAAGAGAAGAGGGAAAACGTCCAGTTGAGTGCTTCACATTCTCAAGATCCCGAGTTCTTTATGTTTTCATATTGTAAATAGTCTTCATACATTGGAAGACCACAATATCAATATCTAGCATCATTAGGGGTGACAAACGGTCGGGTCGGATATGAGCGGATCAAAACGAGTAATTTAAAAACGGATAAATTGTCTAACCCGACACATATTTGATATGGATAAAAATGGGTTTATCCGGCAAATAATATGGATATCCACATTATCCATGGCTTCTTAAATATGATCGCTTATGAGAGAATTCCTCGTCTTCCAAACTTGAGGAATTTCAATTTGAGGCTTTACAAATGTAAAAGTTAAATACATTAGTTATCCATTGGTTAGACATTTTCTAAGTGGATAATATGGTTCTTTATCCATATTCGACCCGTTTTTAAATGGTTCATTATCCAACCCATTTTTTGATGGATAATATGGGTGAATAACTGTTTTCTTTTAACCATTTTGCCACCTCTAAACACCATCATGAGAACTGGTAAAAGAAACAAAGGGTGTAGTCCTAGAATTGGTAGTAAACAAATGGTATTAGTCCTAGAGTTAATGGCAAACACAATTGTCAAGAAATAGACTTCCAAAAAATCATTGTAGCAGGAAACCAAGAAATAAAATGTGCACAAACCCACATATGGCAGTGAAGGCTGAAAACGTTGTGTCAACCCAGAATCGTCTGTATATATGCAGATAGGACCGCGGCATCCTCCTATGTAACAGACTAACAGGTAATCATCTTTGTTGACACTACCCTCCTTCCTACTAACCAAAAAACAAAGAATTGGCTGGTGTGTTGAGAAGTGACAAGTTGCTAACCAAGTAGCTATCTTGATTGAACTTAGTCATGCCTTTGGCTTTTCAGTGAGTTTACTTTTTTCTGCAATTCCAAGTTTGACATCCTTTCAAGCTCCAAAGCACGTTCAAGCTTTCATCCAGCAGACAACAATAGTATATGTATTAGTTTTAATCCAAGGAAAGATAATAACGAGTACTAAGCAACATGGATGCAACGATCAAGGATTACCTTAGCCGCTCGGCTGCTCCATTCCCCTAGAATAGCTCTAAGCCTCTCATTTTCCTCTACATACTGTTGCAAACACCAAATCGAATTAAGAAAAGGAAGCGGAAAAAGAAGCAAAAGGATAAAAAAAAGAAATATCATGCTAACCTTTTGGTGTAAAAGAAACTAGCATGATTATGGAAATCCAAATACTAAAGATGGATGATGGAGTTAGAATAACAGTATTTAGTATTTAGCTATAACCACTACTTTAGTGCATGAAAAAATAACAAAGTCAATTTGCTTAATATTATTACATGAAATTAATTGCAGATCTAGAATAATAATCTCAAGTTAGACAAGAACCTTGAAATGTTTCTCTGATGAAAGCAGAAAGGTTTGATCATATTCATAATAAATGAGCGATACTATAAATGAACATAGATGTGGAATAAATGTCAACGTTTAACTTGAATCTTACTCGGCCTAGAAATTGTAGGACTCACGAGCACCTAGGCAAAGAGACAAACCCACAGACAAGATTCTAAGTAACCAGTGGAAGCAAGGACTGTCCCAAGGTCAGGAAAAATACAAAAAGGTATCACCCATTGGTGGTAAATGATGTCTTCCAAATCTGAATTGTCCTTTTCGGCTGTTAATGCCTACATCTTAGCCAAATACTCTTGACTTTTCTTTTGGTACATCATATTCATTTTTAATGGCAAAGAAGCAACAGTTGCAGCAAAAGAAGACAAACGAGCAGCACGAAGTTGCAACTTATGTTTAAAATGACACTTCTCCATAAAGAAAAACAACTCCATTTCTGATTACACCAAACATTTTGCATTTACACTACAACAAAAGTTTATTTTCCAAAATAGTTTCAAACACACCTGATTGTTTGTACTGCGGATGCGCTGCATCTCAGCATCCTTCTCTTCTATTAGAGATCGAGCAAGTCTAAGCTCAGATTGCAATTGATTCATCTGAAACACAAATCTTTCAGCAGATAATTTCAAAAAAGTAAAAGGATAACAATTGCTGAGGTAAAACTTCTACTTGGAAAGAAAGAAATATCAAATATCTGAGACAAGTAAATTCTATTCGTCCTCAAAAACAATTCCCTCCACAGACACCAAACAGAATCAGGGAAATCAACAGAAGGAACATATGGACTCAAAAGCAATGGTCACACCTCATGTAAAGAAATCAGCGAGAGTTTTCATCAGTGTGAGATTATAATTCCACAAAGGCATGAGTCATATGAAATGGACTGCCACTTAGAACTGATCCAAATTTACTTTACTCTCAAGAGTTTGAAATAAGATGCCACAATGTAGAGCACCCGGATGCCACATGGATCCGCCCTTGAGCAACTAAGTCTGTTTCTTAGAACTACTGCTTTACATGTTAGCTCTGCACATGATAAAAGTACTTCCATCTCTGTGTATTTCGTAAGAAATAAGATAGGTCCAAAAGACCACAAGCCCCAATAATACCTCAGCTGAAAGTGTGCGCAATTCTTGGTCTCGAGCTGCCAGTAAGTGGGCAAGATCAACCTGCAATACCAAGCGACTGATTATTTTCACCATATTCATAGCCCAAATTCTAATAACAATTGAGTATTACCACACAAAGATGGTTGATTTCATTACTGAATAATTCCACAGTAAATGAACTAAAATGACATAGCTTCCACATTATCATCTTACAGAATATAAAACATGCAACAGCTGGTGTATATTATGTCATGCTCAGCATCTATGACTTTTTTTCTTTCCTGGTTTTGTCATTAGGAAACTTGTTCAGACTGGTGTTACCAGCTAACTTGGGCAACAACAATAACAGAAGTGAAGCCCTTTTTCATAATCTTAAACAGAAAATACCTTCACCGAGATCTTATAAAATGGGAAGTGCGGAAGAATGTTTACCACTTTCAGATTTATGATAGTTGATACAGGTTTCTTTCTCCTCTTCAAATTCTTTGTTTTCCTTTCTGACTTATAGCTTAATTATGACTCGCTATGCAGTCAAAAAGTTACATTCTTCTTTCTATTGTAGAGAATACAGGAAGGAGATTCTTATAGCAAAACAACTTCGATAAGGAGAAGCTTACCTGAGGTGCACTCCCATCATTAGACCTTTCATATTTGCTCAAGGATTCTTGTAATCCTAGAATCTAAAGGAGAAAAAACATCAAAATTCAGAGAAATAAAGGAAATAATTCCACAAGAAACAAGGACTAATTTCCAATCAAAATGCTATTCATTTTCCTATTTTGGCCACAAGAGATAGACACATCCTGCAGCAACCAAGACCTAGAAATGTGTAGAACTCCACCTTCCTTTCCAAACATGACTTGTATGCGCTGTTAACTACTTGATGCACCAACTAGTAAGACTAAAGCTGCTCATACCAGTTCTTTCTTTACTCTCTTCTTGCAATGAAACATGCCTGGAACCTTATTTCTAAAGAAAGAGTATCAGAGTTTTCTTTATCAACACATACCTCCTCATTCAGAAAGTGTATATTTTCTTGCTGATATTGCAATAAGGTCATGAGCTGATCAGATAGTCGACCACCATCTTGATACCTATACAACCAAAGGCTCCCGGGTAAACATCATTATTATTTGCTTCCACACTTAATAGACTCAGAAAGAGTAATGTGCTTTGACAATAAAAAGATGGGGCTAAAAAGTGCAATAAGAAACTGCGGCCGCAAAGCTCCTTATTTTACAGGGGACTCATGGCAAATCCATCCACTATGGCGTATAAGATTTTTCTTGAAACTCAAATGCGTAAATCTAATGAGAAAACCTCAGTCCTTCCAAAGAACTTGATGGTTGAAGTGGAGAATAAAGTGACTTCAAAACATCAGGCTGGGAATGAAATGAATTGTATTGATGAACATAACCTGTGACAATTGAAAGTGTAGCCTGACAAATGTCAATTTTTAAATATGTTTCCTAATAACATACAAAATTTTGGAACTTACTATAGGCAATTTCTTTGTAGGGAGACATGGGTGGGCTTTACTATAAAAATATAGGTGGAGAAATGACTCTTGTTAAGGAAAACCACAAAGGAGGTCTCTCACCAATATAGAGAGTCATGAAAGAAGCAGCACAGACTACTTCAGCCAGCATGATTATCCTGCAAAAGTGGTGGAAAATGCATCAGACCTCTAAATTAGAAACACAAGGCTACAATGAAGCAATCAAGTTATAGGAAGCTACTCCAGTACCACCACAATGGATAATGCAACCTTCAATAGCAGCATTCACTATATAATAGAAGCGTAAATGGCTACACCTAACATCTGGCTGAGGCCTTGAACATTTTAAAGACTGGCCTCGAAACTGCATTTAGATCAAGACCCATTTAAATGACATTTAACTAATTAAGACCCATTTGGATTGTTATGAGTCAGTAGTGCTGTATATTAGAAGATCTATCATATTTGTCCATTTTTAAGAATTCATATGCGGAAAAGGCGACCCATGTAAATATATCGGTTTCTTACTCGTGAAAAGGAACTATTCTTGGCAACTTGGACAACTTATAACGATATTTGTCCTGCATATCACCAGGAAGATTGCCACCGACTATGCTTATACCCTGACTCATTATTGGAAAATGTAACCCCAATGATTTGGGACCCAATTGACAGATTTGGCCTATTCGTTTGCCTGGATCAATAGAACCTTTTGATATTTCATATCCAGTTTGATTTGATTTCAGTCCTTGAACTGGATCTCCTAAGCTGAAACAACAAAGGTAGAAGTAGCGATCCCATCTGTCGTATTTTAATCTTTGTCATGTGTCAGTTGTCTGGGGTAGTTTGAATTAAAAGTGGCTCTCTCTCACAAAATTCTGCAGGATGATTCAATGTCTAAATTCTTCAGGCTTGGAGTACAAGATGTTATTTTGTGCATTCTTCCAGTTCCAAATAAAGAAAAACAAAAATATAATGAAAATCATTCCTTCATCCTTTTTTTTCTCCTTTGTTTAGCCCATGAAATATACACCAAGCTCCAAGAAAATCCATTTAAGAGTCTCAATCTCTCTGTACTTTCTCAAAAAACGAGGCTTCATCTCTCTGTCAACTCTTCCATGGTATGTTTGGTATTATTTATCCATCGAGTGTAAACGAAATTACTGGTTGTAATCATTATTCTGGTTGCTTTAACTGTCCAAAAATTTAATTTAAAATTCGATGATAAGAATTCTATTCTTAAATCCGAATCCACAGATTGTAATGCACCAAGGACAAAAGTGTCCGGTATGCAACTGATAAAGATATGGACATTGGGCCTAACTCAACCCCAAAAGCTAGCTCATGAAGTGAGGATTGCCCAAGCCATATAAGGAGACCAAGTGCTCCATCCCTTAGCCGATGTGGGAGACTCACTCCATCCCTTGGCTATACAACATCTCAATATGCAGGAAGCTGCAAAAAAAAAAAAAAAATGGAGGATTAAAAGGCACAAGTGTTCTTAGCAGGTGAACCTGAGTAGTGTGGATATGGAGAGGATGCTAATATCTGGATCCCAGACCATGACCAGCAGCATTGCAGCAGTTCCTGCAATTGTTTGAAGTGTTTTAAGTATCGGAAGTACAGATTGAAAAATATAAAAAATTGTAGAAGAAATGTAATCTTCAAGGAAGTTGGAGATTCAAACTTAGTGCTTCCCCAAAGTATTCTTCAAATAACACAAGGCTATGGATATTATCTTTAGGGAGTGTGAGAATGCACGGGAGAAAAATCTATTATTAACAATGATACAATGAGCTCTATATATAATACATATTCTATTCTACTCCAACTACATATGGGACTAGGACATATTCTACTCCTACTACATATAGGACTAGGACTAATTACATATAACTATCTAATACTCCCCCTCAAGCCGGTGCATACAAATCATATGTACCGAGCTTGTTACACATGTAACTAATACGAGGACCAGTGAGGGACTTGGTGAAAATATCTGCAAGCTGATCATTCGACATGCAAGGCCATTAGACTCCCCCTGAGCAACAAAACCAAGTGGTTGCTGATAAACAGAAATTGGCCGAAAGGTCGCAGGAAAAATTTGAAAATAGTGAGACTAAGCCGAATTCTACACTACAAAATAGGTTCTAAACCACCACCAGAAAACAGAAACTTTCACGCCCCAATTACTATTCACGCCGGGAAATCAATGTTATCTAACAGGGATCACAGTGTGCAAATTAGCAAGCTTCTCAGAAGACTAGAATAATATTCAGGTTAACCAAGATTTACTTGATTGTACTTTCCCTTCTTACCAGGAAGTAAGGGATGGGGCATTGAGAAGGTAGAAGTTTTGAATGATTTAATGCATCATGAATATTCACAAACGCAAATTAATAAATGTAAAAAGGGAATGATTGTATTGCTTTGCTAAAACACACAATTCAACTGTAACAAACCAGTCCTGCATTTAAATAATAAATATATTTTAGCACTACAGCAAGATTTGTTTTGACCTTAAATTTAGAGATTAAAACAAAGTAAAAAATGGCCGGTACACAAAAAAAAAGGCTGAACACAACCAAAGAACCAAGTAGAGATATACCATATGCAATTGTCGCAAACGGTAGGCGAATAATGTGCTTCAGCTTCTGGCTGAAAACACAGTAACCCTACAAGATTAAACCATTGTGCACTTCAAAAGTTTGACACTTCACAACAGATGATTGGATTATGGCAAAATAAGAAGGAAACAAGCAATTGTCAATCTTAATAAGAAAAATATTTCAGGAGTAATATGTAATCCTCATCCAAGTAGTGCATACAAGTCCCCCATTCTCGACAAGAAAGATAGCCAGAATCCCAAAAAGTTTTATGCGAAAATGGCACAGAGAAGTTGTCATCTTGGTCAACCGACTTATACTCCTTTATACCCCCAAGATAGCTAGTGGACAAGCCAACATTTAGTCTCATGTAGATTGGGTACCAGGTTTTCTTCCTACGTCTGTCAGGTTCTTTAACTATCTGGTAGCACCATATCAAGAACATCCAAAGAATGCACAGTGGCTTACACCAGAAAGTGGAGCAACTTTAATGCTATGCATGTTTTGGCGCCATACCGGACTTTAATATATGCACAAAGCCTCACAGAAATATGATATGATATTAACCAAAATGATTTAGGGAGAGATTGTTTTTAATATTCTGTTTTCTTTTGTGTACATGTCGATTGGGGGGAATGGGGCAGCGGACGGACATGAGGGAGAGAAAAGAAAGTTATATCCAATGAGGTAGCGCTGACATTAATCATTGACTCCCTGTGTTATTTTCCTCCCCTTGCACAACCTCTAAGTCAAGATTTATAGTGGCAAAATGCCATTCATGACATCAAAACTACAAAAATATATAGTAATGCATAACGGAAAACTCACCTGCAACCGTATTTTCTGGACTTGGTATACCAGATATTGCTGAAAAATGCCTGCAGATATTGAATATTAGTGTTTAACAATTAGAAAAAAGTCAACAACAGGAAAAATACAAATGATGAAAAGATATTTTAAACTTATAACTTGGCCAAGATGAAACAGTATAACCGGAGAGTATATTTCATAGGAGCAGACCCGTGATAACTAAGAGGGCAACATTACAACTGCAAAGAAGTTGGAAAACTAATCCCCGGATCGGGAGAAATATGCATGTAGCTCCCACAGCCAAAACAGCAAAACCTGCCTAGAATTTGTTATTAATCAGCTCCCATATAAGTGATGCACGCAGAATTGAAGTAGTATTACTTGCCAATAAGATACAGTAGAAAACACTCCCAATCAGGCTTGCAGGCTTCCTATTACCAAAAAGTGGCGCCTCATCCAGTATGTCCAGGAACCTACAGTTAAAAAGCAGCAGGGACATTTATCAGCAAGAAAGCTCCAATATTAAGTAAAAAAATGGGATAACTTCAATATTTTTTTTTATTTTTTTTTTGAGAAGGGATAACTTTAATTTGGACAGTATATTTCACTTGGCAAGTCATATAACTGACCATAAATTATTGCAGTGAAATGGGGTGATTTCGGGCCAACTTCACTGGATTTTGGCAACGGCAAAGTTGAGTGTGAAGGGGAGCCTTGGAGCAATGGTAAAGTTATTTTCGTGTGAACTATAGGTCACAGGTTCGTGCAGTGAAATCAGCCACGGCTGCCTACATCACAACCACTTGGAGTGCGGCCGTTTCTCGGACCATGCGTGAGCACGAGATGCTTATTGCACTGAGCTGCCCTTTTTTAAAGTGAAAGTTGAGGGATTTTATGGTTAGAAAAATAAGTTTGATGATTTTACTGCAATATAATTTAAGTTGAGTGATATTTTGTGTAATTAACGCCCATTTTGCTTAATACATCATCATTCTATCATCCTAAGTTTCCCCTTCTCCTCCTTATGCACATACATACATCATAATTTACAGTCTAGAGGCTGATTTTGAAGATCATAACACCCCAGATATATATGTTTAGTTGATTATATGAAAGAAACATAATAAACAGTGATACAAAGTTAACAGAAAAAGAGGAAAACATAATTAAAATTTCTTGAAAAATTTGCTAGAATTTTAAATAATTATCCTAATAAGTCACTTGTCAAACAACACTTTGTTCTAATAAAATACAGTTCACTATAACGCTAGCCACATTTATGAGTTCGAATTCACAATTAGGTATTTTCAGAAATTGCCATAGCATGTATTTACTAAATTTTCAGCCAGCATAAAGAGACAAAATTAACTGAATTACAAGTAATAAACAAACATTGCGATATTTCAACTTTAAAGTACGGCAACAAAAATGAGCAATTGAAAACTGAAAGACTGACGATGACTGAATTGCTGGAAATTGAACGTCGCAAAATCAAAATGTTGCGTGTGTAGAGGAATCAATGTGATTATCGACGGAATAGATTGGAGGACTAGCGCTTACAAATTGTTTTCGTTTTCGTAGAGAGAAGAAGAGCGTCTTTCTCCTGACATTTTCTTCTTCGCCTTCTAGTTCAAAACATAACCACTGTGCTTCCTTCTGTATTTAATTTGGAGGTTTCTCTTCGTTATTTTAGTTTCAAATTTTCCTTTTTATTCCCCATGCTTGCCACCAAATTATAAATAGATAACATGTGTTTGCAATAATTTTTATTACTTATCAATAGTTAGTGGAGTAGTATATTTTACATATTTTATAATCTTGATGCAATATTTATTTTGATTGTTATTTAAAATTTTTTGTATCATATTATTAAATGAACCAATAAAAAGTATCACTTTTTGTAAGGTCTTATTTGATGGGTTGCGTCTTTACCTTATTTTTTACACTCACCTTGCCCTTTTTTTTATTATTAAATATTTTTTTTTATCTTTTACTCTACATTTTTATAATAACTCTACTCATATCCTACTTTTTCTTTATAATTTGTAAGTTATATTATTCATATTATTGGTGTATGACACCATGAAATGGCGACAAGTGATACAATCTATTCAAATATTGTATTCATCAAAACAATGAATATAGCACAACGCGATATTCATTACGAAATAATATTTAACAAACATCCAAACAAGTTGTTAACTATAATAAAGAAATAGTATTATTGATGCAAACATCAAGCCTGAGGAAGAGTTTTTCGCTTATAGTAGTCAAAATCATTTATTATTCAAATATATGTTCTTCCTTCGGTAATAGTTTCAGATTGTGCCATGTAGCCCATTTATTTAGTGAGTTAAATTCAATTGAAGTGAACCGTCGTCCTCGCTAATTCTGACATTTGAATGGTTTTGTTAAATGTCTCAATCGTAACTCGTAAGCAATTATATTTAGGACAACAGCAACTATAATGTCTAAAATCAAACAAATTGAAGTAGGCTATATGCAGAAGCGGAGCCAACATAAATTAAGAAGAAAAACATTTAAATGGTTGTGTATAAATAACTTGCTTTAGGAATGTTGTAAATTCAGTATCTCTGTTCTTATTCGTTTACTACACAAATCATCTTTGTATGTACTATACGTGTTTTGAACATAAAACTGAGAACGGAGCCCGAATGCTGTTGTATCATCAACTGGGACAATGTGGGATTTTGGCCTACTTCCCTTTGGGAAAATAAATTACAAACTTCAAAACTCAGGCAACGACAGGGTAGGATGCGCAAGTGGCAATACCACACATGTTCTTTCCCATCTCCATTTTGAAGTATCCATTGTCACCCCAATCTGCTCCCCATGAATTCTTGATGAGCCAATAGGGAACACCATTTTCAACACCGTAACCCACAGCAAGAACAGCATGGTTTACATCCTGCCAATGCAACACACAATGTTTGTAATATTGTGTATATGCCTATTTAGCGAAGTTATAAATTTCACTTAGGGTGTTCAAGATTTAATATATGCACGACAGTGAAGTGAAGGGTGTTCAACTGACGACCCTTGGTCGGCTGTAGCTTTCCCCTGTATTTAGGTAACTATGTCAATATATTTGCATATCACGTTCCTAGGGACAGATGACTTACCATGGGAGTGTTGCCGCATTCGGTGCTGGTGTAAACACCACTCTTGTATTGTTTGAAACCTTTTATCACCTCAAAAGCTATACTAACGGGCCTAACCAATGCAACCGCGTATTTTAGTTCATCTTCAGCACCCTGTAATGACACGTATGTAAGGAACTTAACCAATCCTTATTGACCATTAAGGTTGGATATTAACACTGGCAAAGATTGGTTGCATACTGGAGGAAAGAGATATCATACCAGGGTAATATTGACGGAATCGATGACTTTGACACCAACATTTTCTGATGAGAATTTACATAAGCCATTCTTGCCAGTGTATGGATATGCTTCTTCAGTGTCAAGACCACCATTGGATTTAATATACTCAAAGGCTTGTGATGGGAGCCCACCATTGCAGCCAAAGTTATTAAAAGCTCCAGCACAGTCCACAAGCTGCTGCTCAGATAGAGAGATTCCCTTCCCAAATGCTTGGCTATATGCTGCTTCTAGTGCACCAGTAGTGCTGCCAAGTGCCTTCTCCGTTATATTTCAGCTTAAGAGTGCAATTTCAAGACTTACAATTTAAGAGTCCAATGATGTGAGATTCTAACTAATTCTTACCTGAATGTCCAGCAAGATCCGCACTTGCCCTGGTTCTTGACTGGGCTGACAATCCCAGCTTCCCGCCAGTCTTTCTATAATTACGAAATTGGAAATTTCGGTTAGGAAAGAAAAAACTTCTTTTTGCAACCAATTGTGCATTAGCTCAGTACATGCTCGCTAGTCTACTCCACTTCGATCAATTAGCCAAGATTTTTACCAGATATGAAATCATGACTGGTGCTCGATCTAGTGGTATTTCTTATGAGGATTCTATTTATTGTTGTAGGATACCTATTCAAGATCTTTTTAGTTAGTGTTTCTATAGTTACAGCATAATTAAACTCAGAGCACTCCACAATTCTGGAAATAATAAATCATCAGAAAGTAGTTTAACTCTAATGATCACTAACTCCAGAAATAGATACAGAGGAGTTCTGAGTGCATATACCGTCTCCGGCAGAACAACGTTAGTGACTTTGAGATTGCCCTTTGTGGTGGCTGAACAGTTTTGAGCTGCCCCCAACCTGTCTCTCCGGAACTCGTCCCATGTTAGGTCGGTAAACTCTGTCATGAAACATAATAATCGATAAACAATAAGGGCCATATATACTAGAACTTAGAAGCATAAAATGCATACTTATTTCTTTACTTTTTGTTGTTGAATCTATGCACAACTAGATTAAGTTGCAAAAACTTTTCATTTGGGCAGTCCAATGCTTAGGTGCTTATATTCTTTCCATGTACTGTGATTTTGTTTTTATGTCCATATATGAATGAATAGAGAAGAATTAAGAATTCAATTTAGATTGTTTTTAGTCTTTAAGCAGGATCAGTTGTAATGAAGAAAAGCTTTTGAATTGAGCTTTTAAAAAAAGTTTTTTGATTGGAGAGAGAAAGGGTACCCACTAGCCACACAATATGAATGAAATATCTACACATGATAAGGCACTAGACCAATTAATTACTAATAAAATATGCAAACTATAAATACCATACTGATACTGTAGTGGAACATATGTTTTATCGCATTATATTATAATTTTAATTTGTCCACATCTCTCCAAATGAAAAAAGAGAATGAAATAAAAACATATATACAAAGTCTACTTACAAAGAGTAGTATTCAATTGCTTGTACTTAATTTTGAAGCTTCTAAATAAAAATTACCTTATTTTACAATAATAACTATAATTACGCCTTAATCTGTTACCTTAGCTGAAGATAAAAACAAAGAGTATTCCGGTAAAGGAACCACAAAACTATAACTTGTTACCTCCAAATCAACAAATTAAGACTCCACTTAAGCAAAAGAGAAAAAAGGAAAAGAGCAGGGCCTTAGCGTTATGCCATAATATTAATTATACCATTGACACCGAGTTTGTATGATAGTCCTTTCTTGTTGTGCGATCGAATCATCTTCAAATTGTCCAAAAATACCTCGAACCTTTGCTTTATCTCCTCAACTGACTCGTACCTCTTCCCATACCTTAAATATCGTCCCAAAAATAAAAAGATTTAAGTTATATACACATTACAGTATAATATTTTTTTACACTATCATTACCAACTAATACATATTAAGTGATTTATTTGTTATTATCTTATTTATGTAAAAAAAAAAATATGCTCACTGCATATATAGAACTTAAACTCAAAATAAAACAATTACTATTAATAAGCAAATAACAAAAAAAAATCTCATTTCCATGTAGAGATCATCGTACCTGTGAGCAAAGCGAGCGAAGGAGAGAGCATGGCGGGTCTTGCCGACGACTTGGAGAATTGCGTTCTCCAGCTCATGTAAACCGTCAGAAACGACTTGTCTGATCGGATTCTCATCGGCAAAGGTCGCCGGTCCGGCGAGTGCGGAGGCGAAAAGGCCACCGGCGACGACGAGAGCCAATAGGAGTGAGAAACGAGACATTATAATCTCCTCTCAGAGAATGTGGGGAAGGGAATTATACGGATTGGATGATTGTTTATGGTAAGGCTTTGGTAGAATAGTGGAGAATTTATTCAGGTGGGTTTTGTCCGCTATTTAAGTGGGGTCCATTTTCAGGGGAGAAATTAAAAAATATTAAGATTTACAAGTGGACATTTAAAAATAGTCACAGTTTCAAAAGTTATTGAAATTTAATTACTTTTTATGTAAAAATAAATATGAACAAAAACACAATTCAAAATTCGAAAAATACTCCAGCATAATATTCTGGAATTTAAGTATAATATTCTGAAATTTCAGTATAATATACTGGAGTTCCAATATACTTTGCTGGAACTCCAGTATATTATAGTGGAGTTCTAGCAAAATATAATCGAACTCCAATATATTATACTGGAGTTTGGAGTTCTAGTATACTTTGCTGGAACTCTAGTATATTATATTGGAGCCAGCAAAGTATACCGGTCAAGCATAATATGCTGGAAGTTCATACACAGGTACACCGAACTCCAATATATTATGTTGGACCGATCTCTGTTGCAGCAAAATAGTGACTATTTTTAATGACTTAGCAAATGGTGGCTATTTTGAATGACCAGTTCGAAACTGGCTAGCCGTGTTATTTTAACCATTTTCGGAAGTATGGCCCAAATATGACATCTTTATAATGAGTCAAACTTATTATTTACTTTTTAGTCGATATACATTGATTATATAACTGTTACTCCTTTTAATCAGTATCCAATCAAATTTTATTATGAGAGTATTTAGATTGGGTTTTAAGCTGGTCAAATCAGATTTTAAGTTTTTTAAAGCTTTTTTTTAGTGTTTGGAAAAGTCAAAAGGTATTTAAAATAAATTAAAAATACTTAAAATAAGTCAAAAGCAATAAGCTGTGCAACTCCCAACTTATTACTTTTTGGTTTAAAAGTTATTTTTGCTGAAAAATTACTTTTTCTAAGACAATTCAAACGGGCTTTATATTCTCTATAACAACACTTTTACTATAATGGTCAAGTTTTTTTGGAACCAAATTTTCATCTTATATTATAACATGTGTTCTCTATAACAACACTTCGCTATAACAACCAAAAAGTATGTGAAACAAACGAGACAGTTAGTGAGAGGTTTGACCGTATATTGATTATATACGATTACATATACAATGTAGTACATGAAATACACATATTATATGAGTATTCGTTAGCTATATTTAGTTTAAACGGTTGAATTAGCGATTATTTAGGTTAATACTCGATGATATTTACAACTTTATCCTTTAGAGATATTTTGACTAAAAACTAGAAAGAATCTTGATGGAAGAATCTTTGAGTGGGGCTTATTGCTCGCAAAGTTGAAAAAAGATGGCGTAGGGGCTGACGTTAATTTCATATTCCCACCATTTCCGTTATGGAATCTGTTTGGAAGTTTGTACATTAGTTAATGGAATATTGAAATGGGAGTATGATCTCATTAAGATTTATTTATTTTTTTCATAATTATTTTTTATATATACAAAGATGAAGGAGAATTACAGTAGGTTGATAACTAATTTTTTTGCATATATTTTTAACAAAATCAAATTCTAGTGCCACGGGATTAAATTACTTATTCATACAAGTAAAGAAGAAGAAGCAATATGTAGTGGACATTTGGAAGAGTATAAGGCAGCATTATCTAAGTTTATCCAATGAACACTCAAGGATATGGAGTAGTTTTGTCATTTTGTTTGAATTTTCGTGTAGAACAGAAAGGGACCATGTCTTTGGAAAAAATAAATAAGAAAAGGTATTATATTGAAAAATAATACTAGAAAACAAAGACGACTAAAGGTGCTCCAACATTTTCTATTGTTTGATTAATTCTCCCTTTTAGACCATTCTTAGGTCAGCCAAACCAAATGTAGGATCAAGTTATCAACCAACCTTTATTTTTGAGTTTCTTACCAATTAATCTGTATTTAGCTGTGTAAAATCATTTAAAGGAAACCTCTCTATCAAGATTTTATTCATTTTCAGCGCTCCAACTCAAAACTTCTAGGTAAATATGGAGGAATCTATTCATCCCACTGTAGCCCTAGGATAAAAGTAATTAACCAATCCCATATGTTAATATTGGTATTTAGCTAGCATGCATTAGCCAACTTTTTTTTAAGTTTTCTCACCTGATATTCGGTCCCTACATTAGAATTTCGATAAATCTGTATTCGCGATGTGTAATGCTATTTAAAGGGTGAAACCTCTCTATCAAACTTTTATCGGTTCTCCGGTTTCAAATTCAAAACCTTTAGTTAAAGGTGGAGGTCTATCTATCCCACCATAACCTAAAAGGAAAAAAAGTAATTAACCAATCCCATATGTTAATATCGGGATCTAGCTAGCATTCATTTGTCTATAGGTCCCACGTAAAACCATAACTATGCAAACCAACCATAGATATAGACCTAAAAGGAACAAACTTATTATTAATAATTTCATATTATCATATACTATATGGCTGGAGTGCAAAAAAATAATCAAGAAAACGTCATGCATGGTTGCTAACGAAGAAACCACACATTTAGGATTTTTTTTTCTTATTTACCTTTTGACGATGAAAGACACTTAGTAGTGGGATTAAGTAATCAAAGTGACAGATCGAAACAACACTTCCTTTCTTCACGCAATATATAGAACATTATCAAAAACACCATTTTCTAATACGTAAAGAATCTGGCATTTTCTCTTGGTGGTGCACTAGTAGACGTCACATAGAAAAGGAAACAAGAAAAAAAATCAGCCACTTTTAGAAAAGATATTTTTCTCCCAAATACCAATCATACTAGCTCGACAGTGATGTACTCCCTTTGTTCACTTTTAATTGTTTACTATATTAAATATATGTTTTCACTTTTACTTATCCACTATACTAAATCAAGAGAAAGATATTTTTTTTTTCTCGTTTTACCCTTATAATTAACTATTCATTCCTCAAATTATTATTTCTCAAGACTTTTGGAAATCTATCATTATTATGGGTAAAATTATAAATTAAAATACATACTTTATTTATTTGTTCTTCAAGGGAATGCATTATCAAAAGTGGACAACTAAAAGTGAAAGGAGGAGGAAGTAGCTAATAGTAGTGAAGATCTCTTTCACTTACTATTTAGAGGATAAGAGGAACGAGACAAGGCGAATTTGTTACTACTCAATAATAGCAAGACACGGAAGGGAAATAAATTTTACTACATATCTTACAGAAAAAATACTAATTTCATTTATATTAGTATTTGTTAGTGATTTCATTTGTTTAATTATTTTAATTTCCTTCTGTTGTGAGAGCACTATACCTTAATAAAAATATCACCTTTAGTGTTATGGCATATACATGCAAAAGGCATGGGATGAGTGTTTTGACGTTATAGAATAGTGCATATGGCATAAGCAGGTTTGAATCTCATGATACCCAGATAAAGTAGAGATGTTATTTCCGGTAGACCCTCGACTCAAATTTTTGGAAATCAAACATAATAAAGATATTTAAACACTTAAAAGTCCTAATAATGCAAAATTAACACCATTTAACCAACACTTAAAAAGTACCACAATGAATTTCAAATATGTTGTATTCCATCTAAAAGCATGTTCGATATTCGTGTATGTTCAGTTTACTAATTCTATTTCAACAAAGACAATAGTGATAGCATAGCTAGTCGCCTAACATACAAAACAGCAACTTTAAATTTATGGATAAAAGGTTAAGTCTACGACTCCCAGTCTAGTAAAAAAACATACCACTGAAAAAATAGCTTCTAGTTTTATTGCAGGGACAATCATGTTTTCTAGTGCAAAATAGATCATTAACTATGTAAAGATAAAGATATCTAGGATTCCAAACAAAAACTTCTGACTGCTTCTTTCTGCAGTGTCAGCCCCATCTCAGAACACCTAAAATGGGAATAAAGGACTCTGAACTAGCTGAAACCCCCATCAATATATGATTCAGCAGAAATTACGGACGTCAATTAATGAGAATGGTAATTCAATGTGTTGGATTCATAAGAATCCTCACTCAAGCTAAATAGTAATTGTGAGGATTCTGAGGCTACCTTCAAGCACGGTTGCAGCACAGTTGCGAAGACTGAAACATGTGGAGATATTCCTGAAGGCAGTAAACTGAGATGGCTGCTCCTCCGTAATGCAAAATACACAGTGAAGGGCCAACATGAAGTTTGACGTTTTATTCACCCAAATGTCAAGATAAGACACCTTCCTTTCTTGTTAGATCTCCCAAATTTACATCCAAGTTCAAGCCCATATTTGGCAACGCATTGAGCATCGCAGGAATATCATGTTGTAGTGTTGCAGCAAGCTCCTGGATTTTTTTTAAGGTGACATCAAAGACAACATTGAATAAGCAGCACAGTCAAATACAGTGGCCCCATATGTGCTCAAAATAAAACGCATAAACAGCTTACCTTCCTCTTCTCATCCTTTTGACGCTTTATCACCTCCAAAGGCCAGTCCGTAACTAGCTTTTGAAGTTCAACCATGAAATTTTGCCTTCTCGAATCCGGTATTGTCTGCAACGAACATCAGTACTTTTAAGTGTGGCTATACATATGCATGAAATGCAATGAGGGCCAAAATTGCAGGATATGACAAGTGCGAGAACATAAAAATAATAGGCAAACAATAATAATATATGTCATCGGTTGATTACTCTTACACAAAAGTCTTAATCACAATGACAAGCGGAAGGGGTGGAGTAAGTTCATTTATCTTGTTCAGTTAAGAAGCAAAAGAGGATAAACAAAGATGGAAATGCATGAGCGTTTAAAACCCTCCTTACATTACCCTCCCCTTCATTGAACCAACCATCATAAAAACAGCAGTCTATAGTCACAGATCAGAAGAC